AAAAATACAATTTAAAAAAACCCAAAAGATAGGACAGTGCCTATGGTTCAAGGAGTAGGGCGCCAGCCCCATATGCCGGAGGTGGCGGGTTCAAACCCAGCCCCGGCCAAAAACTGCAAAAAAGACCCAAAAGATAAAAATAATTTTGATATATATTGCCAAGTTGCTCTAAAGCAGCAGTTCTTAACCTGTGGGTCACGATCCACAGGAACTGTATTAAAGGGCCGTGGCATTAGGAAGGTTGAGAACCACTGCTCTAAAGGTTTTATCAAGTTAGGGCCAGCATGGTGGCTCACGCCTCTAATCCTAGAACTCTGGAAGGCCGAGGCAGATGGATTGCCTCAGCTTATAAGTTCGAGACCAGCCTTAGCCAGAGCAAGACCCCATCTCTAAAAATAGCTGGGCATTGAGGCGAGTGCCTGTAGTCCCAGCTACTCAGGAGGCTGAGGCAAAAGAATTGCTTGAGCCGAAGAGTTTGAGTTTGCTGTGAGCTATGATGCCATAGCACTCTACCCAGCATAGCAAAGTGAGACTCTGTCTCAAAAAAAAAGAAAAAGTTTTTTACCAAGTTACACTCTGCCAGTGAAGGATGATTGTGTGAACCAAGTACTTTTTGGGCTATTTCCTCAAAATGTTCGTTTTTAAAAATTATGATATGGGTAGCAAAGGATCCAGTAATGCACCTCCATAGAGCGAAACCTCTTGCAACTGTGTTCCTGACATTCTGGGCTTTAGGGCTGATTTCTGCAGGAAATCTCCCTTATGAAGAGCGGTTCTTCCTAGGGGTTGTGCAATATTGGACCAGCGGCTTTAAGACGGGAACAGACTGCAGTGTCCTGAGAGTGAGGTGGGAGTGGCACCCCGGGTAGATCTGAGAACGCTGTCTTGGCAGCAGAAAGAACACTGGAAAGATGGCTTTAAGTGGATCTGCCTGGAGACATTTTTGGATTGTCACTTAACTCCCTGAGCCTAATAACTTCCTTGTGGGGTGGCAGAGAGGATCCAATTCACTCGACAGGTATTATTGGTGCCTACACTGAATGGTGGGCCTGCTTCTTGCTCTGGTTGTTGCACAGGGCAATGAGCACAGCCACTAGAGGCCCACGGTGAAACCACACTGGACCTCAAACCATGGAGACTGAATACCTGCTCCCATGCTTAAGTCACCGCTGCTGTCAGTAGCAGGAACACGGTGGTCACAATACTGGACTTTCAATGTAGTAAGAGGAGTCAGCAAATTGAACCCCCACAGGATAAATCTACCTGCCTGGTGGTGAGGTATGCAAATGAGCTACTATATGTGTAAGAACTCCAGAAAGTACACGTATCAAACATGTTCAAGGATCGAACTTGGTACATAAGTATATCTGCTTCCCACCTTAACTCTTTGCCTTCCCTGCTAGGTTATCCTTGACATGTTAAAATACCTTAAAAATGGAGAACACCAATTAGGAAGTTAGGAGCATGTGAAAATGCATTATTAAGCCACCTCATCTTTTTCCTTTTCAGTTGTTTGGGGAGAATTACTTCTTGGTTTTAGAACTTATTACCCACAGCAGGGCACAGGTATAACTTTATCCCTCATTTTAAATTCTGAAATTCTGGGTGTTTGTTCTCATGTCCTGGGAACTCTGCCTCTTCAACCATTAAACTACAGAAGAAAATAAACCAAAAGGGGGCATTTTGTACCATGCCCATGGCAGAATGCTTCTAGGTTTTTTTTTTTTCTTTGAAGACTATTTAAATTTATGGCTCACACTTGAACCATTTCTGTGCTGAATAGGGGTGGTCCAGGGCTGCGTCCTACTCTCCACATCAGCCTTGTTCACTACCAACTCTGATCTCTGCCTTGTTTTTCAGATGACTTTGGGAAATTGCTGCTGGCTGAGGCTCTCCTGGAACAGTGTTTGAAGGAAAACCAAGCCAAAATAAAAGACTCCATCCCTTTGCTGGAGAAGAATGAGCCCAAGATGAGTGAAGCCAAAAATTATCTGAGCAGTATCCTTAACCATGGGAAGCTGTCGGTAAGTTGTCAGCCCCCAAACATGGGACCGCCTCTCAACTCTTCTCTTTTGCCTCCAATCTGGTGTGTCTGGCCCTCCCTGGATCATTTGGTCACTTGAGCAACAAGTCTTTTTTACAAGTTACCATTGCACATACTAGTAGCCACTAGCTACATGTGGCTCTTGAGCACTTGAAATTATACGCTGGAGTTTGAAGATTTAGTACAAATATAAAATATAAAAGAACATTAATGCTTTATATTAATTACATGTTCAAATAATAATATTTGGATATGTTGGGTTAGTGAAAACATGTTAATATAATTAATTTCACCTGTTTTTACCTTTATCAATATGACTAAAAAATCTTATGAGAAATTTTTAGGTCACAGATGTGACTCACATTTGCATGAGTTATGTTTCTACTGGTGTTGGGTTGACCTACTATGTGCCTGGCCCTTTGGGCTCCTTGGAGAGAGGGGGTTGGTGAGCCTGTGACCTAGTTGGAACCAGGCAAATGTGTAGAGTTGGCAAGGGACAGAAGAGCTCCATAATAGGGCAAGCCAGTTTAAGTCTCTGTGCATTCACTGAGTACCTACTGTATGCAAGGCATTGAGGGGAGGTAGAAAAGGATGTATACTCACAGCTTTCTCTCAGCCTTTGCTACTCAAAATGTGGTTACTCTCCAGCGTGTGAGCATCACTGGGGAGCTGGTTAGAAATGTGAAGTCAGAGTTAGAATCTGCGTTTTAATAAGATCTCCCAGACATTCACGTGTGCATTAAAAATTTGAGGCTGTTCTAGATTACAGTGTAGCCTGAGGGGCATGAATATGTCCTTAGAGAGTCAAAGAGGAAGTGATTTTTCACAAGATGTTCCAAAATAATATCTTCACTTCCTTAAACATTTTATTTTGGTGTGCTATGTGCAAGGCATTGTGTTACACACTCTGAGGGCAATCAAGATGGACTGGTGTGGACCCTGACCCTCAAAGAGTCTGCAGGTCTCCTGGAAAGAAAAGTCCTATTAGCAAGAAAATAGCCTTTGTCCAGGAGTGGTAGACAAGAGAAAATAAGGCTAGTGGTGCTCCTTGATGTGAAGGAGAGAGCAGACTGGATAATGGCAGTACTAGAATAGGATCCTACTTGGGGCTGGATCTGGAAGAGAGGGGACACAGATACAGGACTGAGGAAGCAATATGTAATCTAAAGGTTCCTCATGTAAAGCATCTCATTAAAGTTGGTCAGTTTAGCAGGAGCAAAAGGGAATGGCAGGCAATTAGGTTGTAAAGTTGCTTTGGGGTCAGAGAGTGGGGGACCAGAGAGCAGGGACTAGAACACCAAACCAGGAAGTATAAGGCTTATTCTGAGAGCCGTGGGGGGAGAGGAGAGAGTGTGCTGGAAGTTTAAGATTAGTACTTTTGAGCTTTGTGACAGGCACATCTAGCACTGGGAGGTCTGTGTTGAGTTAAAATAGCAACTTGACCCTGAGCACGTCCCTTGACCTTGTGGCCCCTTTGTGCCTCATCTACTGATCAGAAGAATTGGACCGAACTGGTGGGTTCCATGATTTTCCCATTAAGACTCCTTTTCATTTTTTTTTTGAGATAGAGCCTCAAGCTGTCCCCCTGGGTAGAGTGCTGTGGCATCATAGCTCACAGCAACCTCCAACTCCTGGACTCAAGCAAGTCTCTTGCCTCAGCCTCCCAAGTAGCTGGGACCACAGGCACCTACCACAATGCCTGACTGTTTTTTTGGTTGCAGCCGCCATTGTTGTTTGGCGGCCCGGGCTAGATTCGAACCCACCAGCTCAGGTGGTGCCTTAGCTGTTTGAGCCATAGACGCCAAGCCACCCCATTTCATGTTTAAAAAATATTTAGAAATTGTGCTTGAAATAAATGTGATTCAGTCTTACTTTCAAAAATTCAGTCAACACACCAGTAATTTGGATGGTAAATAAAAGCCCTTGTTCATCACCCTCAGCTGCACGCCCACCCCATCCTCAGAGTTGAGCACTGGTCATAATCCAACGTGCAACTCGCATGCCCTTCTTTGTGCATCACAAACATACATCCACACTTAGAGCTTTCTTTTCCCAGAGTCATAGGATATATACTTGACAGGTTGCTCTTTTCCACTGAGCACTTTCACTTGGAGCCTTCTCTGTGCCACTACTTCATTCTTTGTGTCAGCTATTGTTTTGTTGTGAAAACTATTTTGATTGTTACATCACGTTTTCTTTTTTGAGACAAAGCCTCACTCTGTTTTCATTATAGCTCACAGCAACCTCAAACACTTGGGCGTAAGTGATCCTCTTGCCTCAGCCCCCTAGGTAGCTGGGACTATGAGCACCTGCCACAATGCCTGCCTAGTTTTTCTATTTTTAGTAGAGATGGAGTCTTACTCTTATGTAGGGTGGTCTTGAACTCCTGAGCTCCTAATCCACCTGCCTCAGCCTCACAGAGTGCTAGGATTTCAGACATGAGCCATCGTGCCTGGCCTCACACTGCATTTATTAAATACAAAATTTACTATGCTTTATTAAACAAAAGCACATGTGACACTGATAACATGGGGAGATTCAGTGTATCCAGGCCAAAGCCAAAACCTTGATATTGATCAGGCAAAATCAAATATTAAAAGTTGTTAATGGGATTCTCTATCTTACCTCAAATGGTGGGGGGGTGGGGGTGGAGAAGTTCTCTTAGCAGCAGGTGCACCCTCAGGTGGATTCCTGTATGTCCTGAGCAGCTCTGACAGGTTGTAAAGGAGAGGAGCTGGGAGAGGTGGGGCCTGAGGCCCCTCTTGTGGGCAACTTGAAACCTACTCTCAGGGATCTTTTAAGATCCTGCCCATCTCAGTGCCATGGAGGTTGGTGAAAATAAGCCACTTGTCTTAACCTCTCTTATCCCCTGAGCTCTGGGTATTGCCCCATCCCGTGGAGGCCTCTGGTAACCTTCTGCAAGGGTATTTCAGAGACCTGGGAGAGGTGATCACTTGGTGAAGGATCACACTTGTAGGTGCAGGACTTGAACCTAGGCCTTTTGTTTCTGTATCCCAAGCTGAAATGCTCTCTGCCCCTTCTTGGTGCTGCTTCCCAAAGTACTGGAGTAGAAATATAATAATCCAGCAACCTGGATTACTGTTAAGGCTGATGACAGCGCTCCTGCTTTCATGGTTCCCCTTTTATACCTGGAAAGTGTTTCCTCATCTCTTCTTTCCTCATACCTGGGTTATCTCCATGAGGTCATCCTTCCCTTTGTATTGACAGGGACAGTGAGGCAGGAATAGAATAGGGGACACCTGATCTATACAGCAGAGTGCCTATTTCCCCTTACTGAACCACTTCCCACATAGCATCCTCTTTCTGGGCCAAGGACTTGGTTCCCTGACTGTTGGATTGACAGACCATTTCAAATTCAAATGCACAGAGTGTGGCTAAGAAAGGACATTAAAGAAGCAGAAAACAACAGCAAGACTATACTGTCATCTGTTATCGTTCTTCCATAAACGGAGAAACATCTGAACACCAAAAGACAAGATGGATGTGATTTCAGAACCGAGAGCAGCCATGGTATAAATTTAGCTGTGAAACATTCACCACGTTGTCTTACTTTCCCCAGCCTGGTGGAAGCTGTGTTGTAAACTGTCATTGGTCCACTAGGAATTGCTGCAACCACACCCCACCAGCTTGCGGGAAATGTGTCCTTCTGAACCTCACTGCCCTTCTCCCCATGTACAGTAGGAGAGGATAATAATAATAATTACTCATACCCTGTATTTATCTAGCTCCTTTCTAAAGAAAAGTTCAAAGCTCTTTTCTGGACTTTGCTCTATTAATGTTGTTGGCTTCAATATGATGGGGTGAGGAGTAGGCGTTATTATCTGTCCCTCGCCCATGAGGAAATTGCAGCTAGTGCAGAGAGGAAATGAGTCCATGGCTCGAGAGCAGTGCAGGGAATGGCAGAGTCATTCATTGCCCAGTTTGGAGGGATTGTGGGCTGCATACCTCTGGGGATGTGTAATCTTGTGGCGCTAGTCCAGGGAGTGGGTGGCCTATCTAGGGAGTCTAGCAAATGCCCTTAAAAAATCCAGCTTTTGAGAGTTTATCAATCATCAGAGAGAGCAGGACAGGTGTACAGGGGCTAAATGGGCCCACATGGTAGTGGCAGTGTAGGAGTTCACCAGAAGGGAGCTTCCTGGTAGTCAGGAGGCTTGCAGGAGGAGGTGGGCCTGAGCAAGGCCCCAAAGCATGGAACAGGATCTGGATAGGCTAAGGGGAAGAGGACCTGAGTAAGCAAAGGAGGAATGTGCATTTACAAAAACCAAAAAGACCAGTGGGGAAGGAAAATTTGGCTTCCCCCAAGCCTGCTTTACCATATTCCATTTCTCAAAGTTGGCTTCTAAGAGGTCAGTGGATGGTGAGGAGTGGTAAATGACTCCCCCTGACTTATAGGTACCCCAGACTCTTGCTGCCCTGCAGGGAGATGGGGGCAGCACCTTTCTGACAGAGATAGAGGTGGCGGCCAGAGCCACGTCTCCAGGGAGCTTTGTAGACACATTGGTGGCCTGTGGCAGGGGCAGTGCCCAGGGCCTAGTCCAAAGGAGTTGTGGGCCACCTGAGCACAGGGACAGAGGCAGGGGCCCAGAGCAGACGGCCCCAAGAGGTGAGGGATCTCGAGTGGGACTGGACCCATGTCTGAGGCTGGTGTGGCCCAGCCCAGGGCCAATTTGGCCTCCTTCAGGCAGCAGCATGGGGTGCTCTGGCTGGGAATAGACCCAAGCTGGGGTGGGGTGGCCAGGGTGGCCTCTAACAGGCTCTGAGAGTCCCTCTGTGGGGCGGAGATGGGGCTAAAAGCAGCACTTGAGAAAGGAGGGGGAACAAAACAGGTTTGCACTCAGGCAGTTTGGCCTCCTTGATTCTGCACTTTGACCTGCTCTGTCGCTGGCAGAGGCAGTGACCCAGCAGGCACTTTGCTCACCTCTTCCGTCCCACATGGCCAGTGTGGCTGCTCCTCCCTGCAAAGGTCCTGCTGCTGTGGGCGGAGGCATAAGCTTCAGGGCCCTCACAGGCTCTCTCTGAGGGCTTCCCCTCAACTTTGTGTTTGCATAAATATGTATAAAAGAGGAGCCCCCCCCCCCGCCAAATAATAAGTTTCAGACTGTAAAACTCAGCTCAATCTCTGATTCCCCACTTGTGTTCAGAACAAGAGAGTAAACTACTGAGTCCCAGCCTGGGCCATGGCCTTTGGGAGAGAAGCAGGACCCAGTCTGTAAGGTCTCTGGAATCTAGATGGGGGCACAAAAACACTCACACATGAAAGATGTAGGGACTCACATAGGAATTTCTCTGAGAGCCACAATGTGGGCTACGAACTGGGGGTGTGGGAGATAGAAGTTGTCAGCACGTGCTTAAGTATCAGGGAAGCCTTCCTGGAGGAGTAGGGTCTTAGGCAACTCCTGGCTCGTGGTTCAGTGGGGGTGTTCCTCCCAGGGTGCCTGGTGGGGGATAGGCCGGAAGCTTTGGGCAGGAGCCTGCTAACGTGGTCCTTACCCTTTCAGCCACAGTACATGTGTGAAGCCATGCTGATCCTGGGCAAACTGCACTACGTGGAGGGCTCATATCGAGATGCCAACAGCATGTATGCACGGGCCGGCATTGATGACATGTCCCTGGAGAACAAGCCGCTGTATCAGATGCGGCTGCTGGCGGAGGCTTTTGTCATCAAAGGTAGTTGTGGACACTGGCCAGGGTTCCCACCACCATGTATAGCTTGTTACATTCTGGCCTCAGGTGTCCAGAATAGGCAGTGGCTATTGGCCAGTGGAGGGGTGGGCTTGTGGGACCAAAGTCCACCCCTGGTAGCACCTAGGCCCTGGTGTCCAGCCAGGCTGACCACAACTTTGTGCCCAGGCAAGGATGTCAGATGGCTCAAGTTCTCGCCCTGGCTCTGTCAATAACTAGTTACCCAATGTGTCCCTTGGGCAAGTCACCTTTTCATCTTTCTTGGCCTTAGTTTTCTTGTCTATAAGTCAGGGTTGTAATACCTGCTGCCCTTGTCATGACCAAGAGGAATCAGCTGAGTTGTATGACCAGGTTGAGAAAGGCTGGAAAAAATGTGCTCTTTAATTGTCAGGCTGGTGACTGACATTGGCCTGAGGCCAGGTGCTCAATGCTGTGGAGGGATCTGGCACTCCTCAGGTATTTGTTGGGCACCTGCTATGAGCCACTCAGGGAGCAGGTGCTAAGATCTATAGGGACAGACAGTTCAAAACCAGTTCCTGCCTCTGAGGAGCTCATAGCTTTCCCAGAACAAGGGGTGCTTTGGGGGGGACTCAGGGATACAGGGCCAGTGATGTAGGAATATCCTAAGGGAAGACGGTGGGCAGCCCAGCTGGAGAGATTATATCATTCATTTGACCCTGAATGTGTTAAGTGTGAGTAGAAGTCCTACCCCAGTCTTGTGTTGCAGGTTTCTTCTTCCTTGGACCTATAAGCCCTGTGATTGCAGAGCCTGAGGGGTGGCCCTTGGTGGCAGTGAGGTCTCAGGTGCCCCTCTGCCCAGGCTGTTCCAGCACAAACCAACCCCCAGAGAAAAGTCTAGAAAAGCTGTATGTGGCCCTGTGGGGGGATTTCATGCCTGGCATTAGAATATGTGTCACTCTATTTTATATTATAGATAGGGACAGTCTCTCCACCTTATTTATGGGGAAACTGAGGCCCAGAAAAGATACATCCTTTGCCCAAAGTTACACAGATTCATGGTGGAGCCAGGACTAGAACCTCCATCCTCTGAACCTGGCCTTGGATGTGACCCACTCCATACACTCACACACAGTCCTTTCTCCTCTGGGTCCCAGTAGGAGTGACTGTGACATCTGTGGAGGGCATGCCTCCTTGACTCTGGCTAGTGGGTGTTCCTAAGGGTGTTTGTCCACCCCTGCCTCCTTTGGTCCCTTTCCCCGTGAAAGAGGGGAAACCACCTTTCGGCACCACCCTAGGGAACCTGGTGAGATTGTCACTCTGGGCAGACCCACCACCAGCCTGTTGGAGGGCAGGTGCCCCTCTGGGATGGTCTGGTCTATGAGGGTCTTCTCCCTTTACTCTCTCATTCTCCTGTCTGCAACTCTGGCACAGGCCAGTCTTGGGGGTGACCTTCATTTGGTGTTTGGGTCTTTTGAGTCTCCTGGAAGCCACTTCTGCCGTGGGCACCCTGAACCGAACACCCTTCCTTAAGTTTCCTTTTCAGTACTTTCTCCTGTAAACCTGGCTCAGTGTATATTGCTCCCTGTCTCCTGCTCTCTACTCTTTCCAGCATGCCTCCAGCTTCTTGGGGGAACACAGTCCTGGTGGTCAGAGGTCCTGCAGGGGAGGTAAGGAGCCGGGTGCTGCCGGCATGGGCTGCTCGGTCATGGGCTGTGCTAGCTCCCATCCCCTGTGATTGCACGTGACTTCCCCTTGCCTGCGTCCTCTCTGCTGTCCTTCCTGTCCTATTGCCCTGACTACACCAGCTGCTTAGCATGCTGAGGTTCACCTGACCACATGTGTGCTTGAGGCCATGCATGTGGCCCCCAAGGTGTGCATGATGTTGTTTTTCCTGGGTTTGAGGGGGATCTGGTGGGTCTTCCTATGCAGAGTAGAGGCTACATCCAAGGGGAGTGAGGTTACTGGTCACTGGTCCTGACTGCGTGTGTGAGCATGAGCATGGTGGTAGCAGGGCCCTCAGAGGTCCCAGAATAATGTTTTTGGAGCCCTCTCTGTGGCAAGTGTGCCCTCGCTGAATCCCCACAGCAACCCCCATGCACTGTTCTATCTCTTCCGTGCCACAGGTGAGGAGCAAAGGCTGAGACGTGATGGGATTCCTGCCAGTCTCACAGGAAGTGGCAGAGCAGTATTTGAACCCAGGCAGCCTGAGTTTGTAAATATCCTGTGATGTTGCTGCAGCTGTGCAGAGTTCCAGGCTGGAAGTAGTCATAAGTGATCTAGGTTATTGGTGGAGAAATCAAGGCTGACAAAAGTGAAACAGCTTATCCAGGATACCGGTTAGCTTGCGTTTGAACTGGGATCCTCTGCCCCCAAGCAGCCTCTGGCCTTGGACTCTTTCTGATTCTGCAGGACTCCGACTGACCCACTCTGAGTGCTCCTGGCCAGGCTGC